TCTACCCCTGATAAGACCCCTTAACGTAATCATGTACGAATGATACTGTAATCAGTGTGATTCGTAATGACCCAACGACACGGATTACACACACACACAAAAACACAAGGCTAAGTTAATCTCACCAAGAGTTAAATTGTTCTGTTGTAATAATTTCTTAATGAGCTCTAATTACCTAGCCGTGTTACCTGGATTTCTTCTTCGTGTTTATTTCTTTCTATGGTACTATGATGTATTTCTTTAGACTCATACTATTACATATTGTAGCCTCATATTGATATATTTTGAGTCATATTGATATATTTTGAGTCATATTAATATATTTTGAGTCATATTGATATATTTTGAGTCATATTAATGCTATATATTTTCTTAGAGTTAAACTTCTGTTATACATTTATAGGATTATACTTTTATATTATACAACCATATTGATATACTTTCTCATAATAATACTCATGGTATAATATCTAAGACTCATACCGATATACCTAGAATCATACTGCTACGTCATAGACTTTTAGAATCATACATAACTATCAGTAATACACACACACACACACACACACACACACACACATATCCCTCAAGTTGGTGCTCGTAACTGGAGGACTAACTCGATTATTATGACCGAAGTGATTGAAGGTGTAAACATTAAACCAAGTAAGAGATTCCTTTCGAGAACGAGGTATGAACATCGAGAAGGAGGAGGAGGGGGGGGGGTTATATCGAGTCGTTACTTCAGATGTCCTCGGGGTAAGGGTCAATGAGAGTGAATGGGTAGTTAGCCTTCAACAGCCATCCCGAGTTGTAACCCTACTGCGTCGTGAGGAAAACTTACCAGTCGTCCTTGAGTTGATAATCCTCGACTTGTTCCTTCGGTTTAGGTTAGGTGCCTTCACTCTAAACCACGTCACTCCACTGTCAACCACATCCCCCAACTCTCAGCCACGTCCCTTCACTCTTAACCACGTACCTTCACTCTCAACCACGCCCTAACTTGTGTCTACCCCCCATGGGCATTTCACCACTGAATTTAAAAATGAGTTTAAGTATTGCTTGCATATTTTATTTTATTTCACCAGGTATGTTTTGGTGAGTGCCAGCAAGGCCAGCTTAATAAACAATCTCAGCTTAATAAAATCTCAGTAAAAATCTGAGCTTTGTAAAATTCTGATCTTAGTAAAAATCTCAACTTAGTAAAAAATAACCACCAGATTATTTAAAAAGTAGATCATCTTAGCAAATATTAAAAACAGCTTAGGGAAAAAAAGATTAGTTTATTACCAAGCGTTAGATTAGTTAGAAAAAAAGCTTAACAAAATGACCAGCTTAGTTAAAAACACCCCAGCTTAGTAAAAAATACAAGAACAGCTTAGTAAAAATAAACTCAGCTTAATAAAGGCAAACATTTTACTCAATAAAAAGAAAAGCTTAGTAAAAAAAGCAAGCATGTGCTTAGTCTAAAAACAAACAATAGCAAGAATTTTTTTTCTCGTAATTTGACGCAGTTAACTCTCTCTCTCTCTCTCTCTCATGTTCTCCTCTCTTTTACCTTTATTTCCCTTTCTTTACCTTTCTCTCGCTTTCCACCTTCCTCTCACTCTCTTTACTTTCTCCTTTCTTTCTTCACCCCTTGCCTTATCTTGGTTCGGTGGTTTGATGTATGCAAATTACCTTAATTATTATTGCTCAGGAAATTGATGACAACTACTAATTGATCTGCAAGAATACAATGAGAGAGAGAGAGAGAGAGAGAGAGAGAGAGAGAGAGAGAGATGAAATTGATGTTGGTCATAATAATAATAATAATAATAATAATAATAATAATAATAATAATTATAATAATAATAATAATAATAATAATAATAATAATAATAATAATAATAATCGTAGTGATAATCTCTAATAAACAGAAAGAGTTTTACTATTATATATAAATCTACTCATAGACAGATAAACGGACAGATATTGTTTTTCACTGACAGACAACAGACAGATCTTAACCTCGCTGATAGACACACCTTTATAGACAGACAGACAGACAGACATATAATTTCCTTGCTGACAGGCACACCTTCATATAGACAGAACTGATAGACAGACTGGCTGCTCCCTCACGCTGGGCTTCGTGTGACAGATAAAACAATTAATCAGCATAAAATGTTAAGTCATAATTATCGACGTGATTAATTACTGAAGAATTTAAATGTGGTTTGTGTGTCGCCTGGGACCAATTTTAGCTGCGTCTGATAGCTCTTATGAATGCCAGTCCCGAGTGTCTGACTAATTCACTGGCTCACTGGCTCATTTACTGATTCACTAACCTTATTCATTCGCTCACTCATTAATTCACTCACTCATTAACATACTCACTCACTCACTCACTCACTCACTCACGGAAAAAAGAATTTCTTGGTACACCTCATAGCCAAAGTCCTGATCAATAATTTGGAAAGATTTACTCTGTCTTGAAGTCACTATTATCCAGTTAAGATAAATTATCAGTATGTATAATCTTAAAACCCCAATTATCTAGAGGGTAAATTATCAAGTGTATATTACCCTCAAAAACTCTAATTATCGAGTGAGTAAATTATTAACATATTGCCTTAAATACCCTAATTATCTGATGGTGAAAAATTATCAAGGTCGATTATCCTCAAAAGTATAAAATTATCAAGTGAGAAAATTATCATCAGACTTCCTTAAAATGTTCAATAATAATCGATTAAAGGATAATTAGTACCTTCTGGCGGTGGTATAATCCTTAGGTAATTGTGTTATTCACCGCATGTTCAAATTACAGCTGTCATTCCTTACCGAGAACCTCTGCGTCTTCCTCATATATTGTGTCATTTGTAATTACCTGCAGCAGCTGTGGCGCCTCCCTCGGGATCTCTGTGTCGCGCTAATGTTGTTGACTGTGTTGCATGCTCCACTCACTCCTGTTGACTCTGTGTTGCTGCTGCTGATGACAACACCCGCTTGGTATGTCTACACCCACTAGCTATGCCTGTACTTCGTGACTACACCTAGTGTTTATTTATACTATTAATACCGTCTAGTTTAGGTATAGCTACACCTTTTCGCTTTATTAATGTTTATGTGTATACCCACTCTCTTGATCTACACCCATCACCTACACCTAGCAACTGTACCTATACTCACCGCCTACGCCTACACTTATGTAATCTGTTATTTTCGCGCGATAAATTTATCATCGAGGATCTTCTCAAATGTTGGTCAAACCCACTAAGTTTGATGCAAATCTTCACCAGACAGACTAAAACCCGCTCTTCAGTAGTGAGCAGCGTAATAATAATAATAATAATAATAATAATAATAATAATAATAATAATAATAATAATAATAATAATAATAATAATAATAATAATAATAATAATAATAATAATAATAGAAAAAAAAACAATATGACACGAAGAATAATAATAAACAGGAAAGAGGAAGAACGTAATGATGCCTAAATGACCGATAATAGTTTGTTTTATATTGCGTAAGGGAGTTTTTTCCCAACTTATATCATGGTAGTTGCTGCCAGACCTATGACCACCCCCCCCCCCTTTTACTAACGATAATATGTATGATTAACGTTCACTCTTATTTTAACTGGACACTTGCACTATTTTCATAAGTTTTAAATGATCAACGGAAGTTATTAGTATCGTTTTTATTCTGTATGTAGAGCAAAGGTGGGCAGTGACACTAGTGTTTAGGTCGCTTAAGCTCCGAGACAACGAGGTATATTGGCTCATTATCCACTGAGTGCTGTACGTCCGCCTCACGACCATTGCCTGTGAACCCACGCAAACACCAATAACCAAACTTGTGTGCTTGCCTGCTCTCTCTCTCTCTCTCTCTCTCATACACACACTTAATACAAACAAGCGTCCATTACAGACCTGGGGAGCACCTCGGGACGATAAGTTGTTCTCAAAACGAATTGGATCAGTTTTTGGCGGAGAAAACCATAAAATTGCTCCTCTGCTTCGTTGTATTGTGGCCGGGTAATAAATTATCCCCGATACGTTTGAACGAGATTACTCCCCTAAATGAGGTTTTCAGAAACTGCATACGAGTTTTCTATTGTGTTTGTAATTGGCAATTTTCCACCGATGCTGAGTCCAGCGTCGGCGTTAATGGGGGGTTAGAAAGAGAGCCTTGCGTCACATTGCAGCGATAGCGAGGCAGCAGCGGGAGCGGAAGTAACAACAGAGAGAGGGTAAAGGAGGAAGAGGCGGTATTGTGGTAGAGAACAACAAAGATAACAGAGGGGAGGGAAGATTATTATTGCTGTAACAAGTATCAAATATGGAGGTAGGGAGATTACAGCTGTAAAGGGTGTCAACGATGCAGGGAGGAAAATTACAGCAGTAGGGAAACAACAAAGATGGAGGCGAGGAGGGAGAAGATTATTATTGCTGTATCGAGTATCAGATGCAGGGAGAATATTACAGCATGAACGATAAGAGGAAAAGGATTAATATTGTAAAGAGTACAAAAAGATTCAGGCACTAGTCCTGGCTCTCCCGGGTACGAGGCACTCTTCCTGGTATTATCATATTGGTAACAGTGCCAGATCATAGCAGTTTTATCCTGTTGACGGTCGTTAATAGTTCCTCACCTGGCCCTGTATGCTGTGGGGCCTTGTATGCTGTGGGCCCTGTGTGATGTGGATCCTGTGTGCTGTGGACCCTTGCATGCTGTGAGCCCTGTAGTCTGTGGGCCCTGTGTGCTGTGGACCCTACATGCTGTGGACCCTACATGCTGTGGATCCTGCATGCTGTGGGCCCTGTGTGCTGTGGACCCTACATGCTGTGGACCCTACATGCTGTGGATCCTGCATGCTGTGGGCCCTGTGTGCTGTGGACCCTGTATGCTGTGGACCCTACATGCTGTGGACCCTGTATGCTATGAACCTGCATGCTGTTGACCCTGCATGCTGTGGGTATCAGGTGTGCTGTGGACCTTGAAGACGCATGAACCCTGCATGCTGTGGACCCCATGCTGTGGACCCTGTATGCTGTGGACCCTACATGCCAGAAACCTACATGCTGGGACCCTACATGCTGTGGACCCTACATGCTGTGGACCACATGCTGTGGACCCTGTATGCTGTGGACCCTACATGCTGTGGACCCTATGTTGTGGACCCTACATGCTGTGGACCCTACATGTTGTGGACCCCTGTATGTTATGAAACCTGCATGTTGCTGACCTGCATGCTGTGGGCCCTGTGTGCTGTGGACCCTGTATGCTGGACCCTGTATGCTGATGAAACCTGCATGTTGTTGGACCCTGCATGTTGTGGCCCTGTGTGATGTGGGATCCTGTGTGTTGTGGACCCTTGCATGCTGTGAGCCCTGTAGTCTGTGTGGGCCCTGTGTGTTGTGGGACCTACATGCTGTGGACCCTACATGCTGTGGGATCTCTGCATGCTGTGGGGCCTGTGTGTGCTGTGGACTCAGACCCTACATGCTGTGGACCCTGTATGTTATGAAACCTGCATGTTGTTGGACCCTTGCATGCTGCTGTGGGCCCTGTGTGCTGTGGACCCTGTATGCTGTGGACCCTACATGCTGTGGACCCTCAGATGCTGGTGGAACCTGCATGCTGTTGACCCCTGCATGCTGTGGGCCCTGCTAGACCTACATGTTGTGGGACTCCTGTATGTTGTGGGACCTACATGTTGTGGACCTTGTATAAGGACTCATATGCTGTGGGACTCCTACATGTTGTGGACTCCTGTATGTTGTGGACCTTACATGTTGTGGACCCTGTATGCTAGATCCCTACATGCTGTGGACCTTACATGCTGTGGACCCTACATGCTGTGGACCCTACATGCTGTGGACCCTACATGCTGTGGACCCTACATGCTGTGGACCCTACATGCTGTGGACCCTGCATCATGTGGACCCTACATGCTGTGGACCCTGCATCATGTGGACCTTACATGCTGTGAGCTGAATTATTTTCATTTCCTCCCAGTACTTACTGTGTTTGCGTGAGGACCAATAAATACACCATCCAGTACTTTACATTTGTACACTATCATACCTCTCTCTCTCTCTCTCTCTCTCTCTCTCTCTCTCTCTGTTAGTTCAAGTTAAGTGCTTTCGAGTGTTCATCTTAAGCTCAGATATTTAGTTCAATCGTTGTGGATAGAAATGAGCTTTTTAAGTCAGTTGATGTGAGAGGTAAATGGTTTTTGTCTTGTAGTTTTCCTATTTCGGTTATTTACGTCGGCAACATGTAATTGAAAAACGTAATTCTCATTTCAGCTGTGAGAGAGAGAGAGAGAGAGAGAGAGAGAGTTAGGTTGGGCTAGGATAGAATAAGTTCAGTTAAGTTTGGCTAGACCATGTTAGATTAGGTTAGGTTAGCTTAGATTAGGAGTCTATTAGGAGAGGAATCCATTTAACCTACAACTTTCGCTGCTGGCCACCGCCTTATAACCTAACCTAACCTCACCAAACCTAACCTAACCTTACTTAAGCAATTGACAAAGATGACGACCAAAATTGCATCGGAATTGCATTAAGGCTCTTCGAGATGCTCCCCCTTATGCTCAGCTACGAGGAACAACTTGAGCGTAAGAGACTTTTTTGAGAACCAGGAGTACAGATGAACACCCCCCAACTCCTACCCCCAACCCCCTACCCTAACCTCCTACCCCCACCACCTGACCCCAAATCTCCTACCCCCAACCTCCTACCCTAACCTCCTACCCCCACCACCTAACCCCAAACCCCCAACCCCCAACACACACTTTAGTAGAGAAACTCGAAGCGGGAACAGTTGGAAGCCTTGACGTACCAAATGGCTTCGATATTTTATTCTTCCCAACTCAAATGGATTCTATAGGTCTATTTATTATTTTAGTGGTGGACGGTAGTGAAGGCCTTACACTTCCCGCCCGTTTTATGTTATGGTTTGTGTGTGTGTGCGTGCGTGTGTGTGTGTGTGTGTGTGTGTGTGTGTGTGTGTGTGTGTGTGCGTTATATTTTTTTATATCATAGAAGGACGTTTATTGTTCCTCATTAATCTACACATAAGTTCCTTCATCTGTTTTAGAAGACTTAATTGGTGTTTAATTTCAGGTAATGTATTTAGTTTCGTCGACCTGAATCCCGACGTGAATCTGTTGTCGTTCGTGTAAGATGATTTGTTATCGTTGACGGACCTGAATTTCCCGTTGAATCTGTTGTCGTTCGTGTAATATGATCGGATACTGTAAGATGTGTTGTTGACGTCAGCTATGAAGGCGAGAGAGCTGGGGGACGTTACCTCGGGAAAGAGAACTCATTCCATGGATAATATCACCTAATTGACAATTGGCTCAACTCGCACTGGGGCGCTCTCTCTCTCTCTCTCTCTCTCTCTCTCTCTCTCTCTCTCTCTCTCTCTCTCTCTCTCAGTTCTGCGTTAAATGATCCGTCGTCACACTGTTTATGGTCATTGTCCAGATTAATGCTGTAAAGGTGTGGCCACTCTTAGTACTAATATGATGATACTACTACTACTACTACTAATAATAATAATAATAATAATAATGATCGATGATTATGTAAAAGAAGAAGCAGGACGAGGAGAGGGAGGGGGAGGAGAAGAAGGGAGGACTTAAGGACGAGGAGAGGAAGGGGAAGGAGGAGAAGGGAGGACTCAGTGAGGGAAGATAGCGATACTGTTGTCTAGACTCTAAGGCGACACAACCCACAAATATCCTGACAGTGATAAAGTATTGTTTGGTAAATTGCTTCTATAAATGTCTTGAAAAATGATGAGGGGATGATTATCTTTCTTATGTTCTAAAACTGTGTGAGAATTAGCTTATCAGTTGCCTCATACTCTGGCTGTCTCTGCACCTGGATAAATGATCGACATTTATAAATATTAAATGCCAATTCCATCGCTCGTCCGTGTTTTGGGTGTTGAAATTTACAGGACATCAGTATTTTGTTATAAGTATTGATAGGTATCGTCAGCAGCCGAGCTCTTCCTCTATAAAATATTCAGTGCCGATAAAGATCACGTGGAGTCATAAAAGTGCTATGCCTCGTTATATGCAACAGACTTAAATGTCCCTTTAACGCCCTTGCAAAGTACTCTCTATTGCACCGTCAGTAGAGGGGCGGGCGAGGGGCTTTACCGCTCCACTGTTGCAAATCATGTTACTTGCAATTTACCTGTCAGCGATGACGGTATAGTTAGAAAAAAAAATCTCGCTATTACTGGTATTGTGTGCAAAGTACTGGTCATTGTGTGGGTGATGCAGCTTGTGGGTAGCGGTGTGGGTAGCGTAATCCTTAATCGATCCACTGTATAAATTGCTTGCCGTCTGGAAGATCCGAGCGTGTAAATGTACCACTGTATTAATGATAAATTAAAAAAAAAATACTAATAAAAAATCCACCCTGTAAGTAAACCATTTCTTACCATGGTCCATGTGTGTAAATCGTCCAGTGTACATTAATACAAATGCCTTGGTGAACTACATCATCAACACTCACCAACAGTCGCGTGTGAGTAGGGTCCTAACACTGGGGGACCAACCATTAGTCTCCTTGTAAACAAAACGATTATCTGGATTTGAGGTGCGAGTGGACACGTGTGGTGATGTGACAGGCGAAGTCATGACGAGTACACACACACACACACACACACACACACACACACACACACACACACACACACACACGAGGGGACAATGTGCATGACCAATACCCCGTTAGACGCACGCTACCCACTACTCAGCCCTGGGTAAAGAAAGTTTAATGTAAGGCAGAGGGGAGAAACGATACTTACCTGCCAGTCGACTCTCCAGGTAACCAACGCTATTCACTGTGCATGATCTAAGTCGATTGGCTCTATACATACCTGTCTGTCCTGTAGCATGACTAATAAAAAAAGTCATCTCCTCCTCTTAGTTGTCAGTGATGAAATGGACACACACACACACACACACACACACACACACACACACACACACACACACACTGAAATCTTACGGAGCTACAATTTTTAACCTAAATCACAGCGGGGTTTCAAAATAGCAGTGTAAAAAGTATTATATCAATGTGCTGTGAATGTATACGTGGGTGACTTTAGTTTTACGCGTGGGTTAAATATGGTGTAATATAGGTCTGGTGCAGTGAGCTGATGCCTCGCTCTCTCTCTCTCTCTCTCTCTCCCTCTCTCTCTTTCTTTCTCTCTCAGTATTTTTCCTTTCATCTCCCTCTTTTCCTCTCTCACTATACCTCTCTCTGCCCTGTCTCTCCCCCCATGTCACATTTCCGCAGGCACTTTATTATCTTTCATCACCTTTCAAAAGTGACACACAATAGCTCCCCCTCGGGATTGCCCGTTTTTTGTTGGCGCTTCTCCCGCTCAAGTGTTCTCTCGGTGAATACCATCACAGGCAGCAGCCCTTTATTTTTTAACCCTCTTATCATGGGGTGTAAAGTGTTGGTGACTAGTAAAAATATTTTGTGAGGAGTCATTATTATTATTATTATTATTATTATTATTATTATTATTATTATTATTATTATTATTATTATTATTATTATTAGTAGTAGTAGTAGTAGTAGTAGTAGTAGTAGTAGTAGTAGTAGTAGTAGTAGTGAAAAAATGTCAAGAAAATATCACACTCATCTATTCATACATCCTTAGGCAATGCTTCACTATTGGCGTTTTTTAGTCTATCTTGGCCTTACCATCCTCAGGCAGTGGGATGGTGACTTACTAGGAGGAGGGTTGGGTGGGATGGTTGGGATGTGTGGGATGGTTGGGATGGTTGGGATGGATGGGGTGGCTTACTGTGAAGAATTTAAAAAAAAATTCACACATAACCTAACCTAACCTAACCTAACCTATGTTTTATCTGATCTGGAAGTCTTGCCTGGTCTGGAAGTTTCACCTGGTTTGGTCTGGTCCACCCACTTTTTAGGTCTGGAAGCTCTTGCTGGTCCACTCACGCCCGTGGCTTCACTTCTCAGCATTATGGTAACAAAAGAGGCCTGGGGGGGTGAAAGCGTTTAGCTAACCTCCAGTGGCGCACGGGCTATTTCCGGTATCTCTCAAACTATTTCTGGAGATTTACGGGGCCACGCTGGCTAATCGCTGGAGATTTACAGTGGCTCTCTACCTAATATCAGGAGAGTCGCTGTGGCTCTCTGCTCATTTGTGTATTTTATTTTGGCTCTCATTCATGGCTAGAAATTTACAGAGTAGAATTGATACCTGTATTAAACGATAATATTTGAATTAAATTATTCTAAAGTGACAGAGGTGTTACTTTATTGCAAGAATATTGAAT